AATATATTATTCTATTTCAGGATTCACTACGGAAGAGGATCGATGTAATTGAGACTCACAGGGGCATCATCGAGAAGAAGAAGCCAAGATTACTCTCGAATAAAGAAGGAAAGAGGGTTGTGACTCAAATGGATCGTTGAAAGACTGAGTGACGGACTTGGTTGGTTGAAGACTTGCGGGGGAAATAAGTATGCGGGAGGAAGTAGCTCCAGATAATGAGCAGTAGGAGGAAAGTCAAGTATTGGAGCAAGAGGACTCGCATGTATGTGCCCATAGCAAGATGCCCTTAACACTTAAGCATTCCCCAAATTTCATTCAAAATCGAACATCAGAGTACTTTTTGAAATCGTTTGTCCTACGTGAATAGGATACCCTGCTGTAAGCAGGCTTGCTTGGAGAAGGCTTGCAACAGGTTCGATATAATTGACCTTCAAATAAGGTATTTCAAAAGGATTGGCTGACAAGGAAGAAGGAAAATCACACTACCTAACCAACTGAGAGCTGCTTCCCATCCTCGTATTAATGCTCAGAATGTGGTATATTGTACCCCGGGTGACATGGTTCAAGCAGTCAATTGCAGTCTTAGAGCTTGAGATGAGAGTGAGCTAGTTTAAGTTTAAGTTGGAGTTGCCTTGATGTCATAAAGGTGCCCAGTTCAGAAGGTGCGAAAGAATGGCTATTCTCTTGCACGTTAATGAATCGAGGAATTGCGTATGTAAGATCTGCTGGTCTAGCGAGCCTTCCTAGCCGCCGTCAGTGCAGCCTACCTGTTGAAGACCGTAACGTAAGTAACTCAGTGCTCCATACAGGGGAAATGAAAGCAGAATTAGTTCGGATCCTCCCACATGTTCAATCTTTTTTTAGCGGTTTCCCCAGAGATTTTTATCATTAATGCAACCTTCATTTTGCTCATTCATGGAGTTGTATTTAGTACCTCTAAGAAATATTCTTATCCGCCGTTAGTCAGTAATGTGGGTTGGCTTGGATTACTTAGTGTTGCGCGCCTAGGAGGGCAGCGCGCTTTGGGATGCGGAGGAGCTATTATCGTCCAGCTCCCTAACCTAATGTGGCACCGGGTTTGGACCGCAGGGAACCATAGCATGGGGGGACGTCTAATCCTTTTGCCGCCGCAAGGCTGGCTAATCGTACGCAGCAGCTACCTTCAGGCACCCTGGTTCTGGAAGGCACATGAGTCCGAACGCTATGTTGAATGTGCGACTGACACCACGTAGGTACTTGTGCAGGTGAGGCGTCGGTCGGTCCTAGAAACGGCGGCAGCGGCGCGAGGAGTTAACGACCGGACGTGCTGCAACCTAGGGATCACCAGGCAGCTCTTTCGCTCTATAGGGATCGGGGGGGCATAGCACAATTCTTCTTGGAGGAGGGTTGTTTGCCCGGGTGACTGATCCTGCCATAATGTACTCCTACCTATCGGCAACCGAAGTCGAGCATACATACTTTTTTCTTCATGCGTGAATAGCCGGGAGGAAAGAAAGGGCGGTAGATGATAATGAGAAAAGGCACCGCGTCTGGACGGGCGGGCGGAATGGATGAGCGAAAGGTGTCATGCCATGTAGTGGGGAATATCCCGAGTCTCATGTAAGACAACTAAATAGACCTCGAGGCCGAGGGCTTGCTCCTTCTCGAGCACAGGATAGGTAATTGAAAGATAGAGCTAGCCTATTCGTTATGGGGAATCAATGCTCCGGACCGAATAGAGCTTACCTACGGCACCTGGCTTTCTCCGGTGCATATTAGCTTAGCTGCGCTTACGCGGCCGGTTTGGCTTCCTCTCTTAGGCCACTTTCCTTACCCGCGGAACTCTCACTTCAAGCTACGCCTGCTGAGCAAGATGCATTACGATTTCCTCTTCTGTGGACGCACCGGAGTATGACCCGGGACGGGAAGAGAATAAATTATCCGGCGAGCTTTCTCTCGTAAAGCCAAAGACGCCCCAAGACAAGGTGACGAAGTAGGCTCGACTATAAATCCGAGGTTCAAAGATCTCGACTAAAAGGAGAGGAGACGAAGGAGAAGAGGACATGTTCAATAGAACCTGGCTGGATCCGGGCTGGGATAGTGGTGCCCATTCAACATCAGTTCCGAAAGGGTTCGCTCATGCTGGAGGGAGCATCCCCACTTAGTGATCGGTCCGCTAGTTCACGCAAATCCGAAGAAGTTATCACGGACGAGCCACATGCAGGGAAACTTGCACGTGTGGTTCTGGCCGGGCTTTCCCCACGGAGCGGTATCTAATAACCTTGCTTCTGCTCGCCGATGGCGCACCTCTCCTAACTATTGCCTATTTATTCTGGAATAATCTTTTTAGGAGGGACAATTTTACATATTTCTGCCAAATCCTTCTATTATTAAGTACGGCTGGTACCATTTCGATGTGTTTCGATTCTTCCGAACAAGAGAGGTTTGATGCTTTTGAATTCATTGTATTAATTCCACTTCCTACTCGCAGTATGCTCTTTATGATCTCGGCTTATGATTCAATTGCCATGTATTTAGCTATTGAGCCTCAAAGTTTATGTTTTTATGTGATCGCAGCATCAAAAAGAAAGTCTGAATTTTCCACGGAAGCCGGCTCGAAATATTTGATCTTAGGTGCATTTTCCTCTGGAATATTATTGTTTGGGTACGACCGGACAACTACCGATATCTATTAATATCTTTTCTTAGAATATTGTTGTTAAATATATCTATCTATATCGTAAACTATCGGATCGGGTATTACTTAGATGTGAAACTTGCAGACCTTATTGGTTGTGATATTGATCTTACGGGGGGAACGAAAGAAAATAATATATAGACTTGTAGAGACCCTCTATGTAGTTGTCTATCTAGGGCGATCGATCTACATCTTTCCCCATAGCCCTGGGGTGGGGCTGTGTCTCGATCTCCTATGTGCGAAATCTAAGAGACTCGTTCCAACCTTCCTCTCCTTTCAGTCGACTCAACTTTGTCGACCCTCACCTCTCCTTTATAGTCGAGGTCAACTTTGTCGATCCAACTTAGAAGCAAAGCGAAGTGAAGTCATAGAAGCTTCGCCAATACTTTTGACTTCACTTCGCTTCGAAAAGTTTGTTCCCCTTGGTCTAATTCCACGCCTTATGACGAAAGTGGAGTCGGCGTGGCGTAAAGTGAAGATTGGGGGAGTAGAGAAAATTCCCTTCTGGGGTATTCCGAAGGTGTAACCTAGGCAACGAAAAAGGGGCCCGATACTTCAACTAGAGGAGCGACCGGTTGGTTCACCAAACTCCGACCCAGCGTCACACGTTCTCCAGGTCCGAAGGGATCCAGTGCCCAACTACCGACTCCTCCCGGAATTGCGTTATCGGAGCCGAGCCAGGAATGGCCGTTAGTGGGCACCCACCACTTTTCACGGTTAGAGAGGCCCTCTTTAATACATTAAGAAAAGATGTTCACAGGGGCCAGAACGACTCGGTCATAGGAATGACGACCACCTACGTGCTGGTAAACGAAAACCACCTCGACCGGATCAGAGTAAACAACAATGTCGAATCAGGCCGCCCCTTGCCTTGAAAGAATTCACACGCGGCCACCAGCTTTCCCAAAATAAGGGGAGATCTGCTGCTTACTGCTCACGGAAAGACCTAAAAAGACTTCGCCTATCTTTCTGATCTCCTTTCCTCATCAGATTTTTTGCTTTGACGACCGTACAAACTTTTCGAAGCGAAGTTCAGTAATAGAAGAAGGTTGGGCAAACTTCTTTAATATATAAGAGAAGAAATTAACAGTCCAAAAAGGACAAAGAGACAAAATCTTTTAGTAACTCAGTTACAAAAGAGATAGTCAAGACTATGAAGCCCCGTACTAGAGCAATTTGGGTTAGGAAGAAAGTCCCAAATGCCTAGTTGTACATACTGTCTTGAAAGCCTTATAGACAAATGTTTGGTACTTATATAGTAGCTGTTCAAGACATATGTCAGGTGATAAAGCCATATTTGAGAATGACGAAGATACTCAAGTTGGTTCAGTCACATTTGGTGACGGTAGCAAAGCAAGAGTTCTTGGAAAAGAAAGAATGGTAGCTTTTTTTTAGCAAAACTAGATGATGCTCTGTATGTATAAAACCTTCAGGCGCATCTGGTTAGTGGGCTTTGACAGGATTGACCCCTTTTTTTTAGTAGATCGTGAGCGTAATGGTATAAGCCTGCCTTCCTGACCACGGATAGGCTACGGGGCTTTGCACTTCGGCCCCTGAGAATACCACATCAGGGAAAGGGGCCGGAGTCAGCCTAAAGAAGAGCATAAGTAACTTATTGTTAATTCATAGAAAAGAAAAAAATGAAAGAAAAATCTTCACTATCTATGGAGTGGAGTGACGCGAAGTTCCTTTCTAAAGTCTTTTTTTATCGTTATTTTTTTCGTGGGGGGTCGTGGAAAGATTGGTTCGAGGACCCGTTGGTCAAAGGGGTCCTGATTCCGGGGCGGAGCCCTATGACGCGAGAGTGTAGACTCTTGAACTCAGGGAGCGAGACCCTAAAAAAAGTTAAAGAAGCTATGAGGAGTGGTAAACTCTGAAAGGAAAGATGGAAACAGGGGAGTTGGCTGCATAGTAAGAATGAATATCAATATGAGAATAGAAGCCATTTCTCAGATAAGAAATAAGGTGACTCAACTCTTTCAAGTTAGATTTATAGTGGGGATAATTTTTTGACTTTCCTTCTTGATCTTCTGTATGGCGGTTTGCTATTGGATTTCGATGAGCCTGGGGGATCCTTCATTCTTTTGGTAGATATTTTTCTCACTAATAGGGGGATCACTGTCCATTCTATTTTAGAAATTGGTCTTTTCATTTTCTTTCTATTTCATCTGGTTTTGGGAGGTCAATTACATCGAACCTTAACTTAAGGGTTCTCCAAGGTGCCTGTTTGAAGCAAATGGCTACTTCTCCACTAACTGGAAAAGTACCCTCACAGGTCAAGTCAAGTGACTTAGCTTCTAAACCGTTAGTGAAGTGTCGGGAGATGCGTACAGTTTCGGCACTCGAAAGAAAAGCCAAAGAAACTACAAGGGGCGAAGAACAAAGAAAAAACTAAGAAGTGGGATAGCGAAAGCGAAAAGTGAATCAAAGGGAAGGGCAGAATTCGTATACTGAACTTCGCTTTGCTCTGGTTCTATCATTTCTTGCATGACCTCTCCGATATGTGCGATGAGCACAAATGGCCTTTCCTGAGACTCAAGCCCCGGCTCACTTATTTGCTGGTCACGACCTCTTTGTGGGAGAACAAATAGGCAAAGGTCTCTTACGTGCTTGGCTAGCTTCCTTTCTTAGCCAAGAGTGGACTTCTTGGAGGCTTCTGTCGAGCTATCTACCCCTTAATCACAGCCTAGCTAACATTAGTTTGAGCAGCTTGGTTTCGAGTGACATAAGTGGTCTCGTCTATAGCATCTGCCGGCCTGAACCTTTAGGTTGGGCAATCATATCCGATTCGCTGGGAGCAGAAAAAGGGATTCTACGCGGAAGGGATGAAAATGATCCTTCGTTGNTAAAGAGAATCCGCCCGGACTTTTAGTTGGCTCGTCCTGCCTGATGTGAACCTAAAGGGGCAACATGCTTCGTTCCTTTAGCAACCTCTCATTTTTTTATATGAATAGGGTCCAAGCCAAGGGTTGTTGTTCAACAACCAAGGGACCTGTTGTTAACAGAGAAAACAGACTGGGTGCATTTGGGATGTTCATCTTACCGGACCGCTATTCCTGACTAAAGATAGGGGGAATAGAATAAGGTACGACCTAATTATAATTACTTACGATATTTCTTTCCATTCAATGAATGAATGTCTCTTCGGCTGCTCCCACGACAAGTTCTTTTCGGTATTTACATAATGAAACAACTCGTAGTGGCACTCTTCGGTCCGTTAAACCAACTCCAACCAGGCCCTTAACCAAAGACGAGATTGCACACCTTCCACATTCAATCGCACAGCGCTGCCCAGGTAGCGGACAGCGACGCTGACGGATTAAGTCAGAACATCTGAACATCAGACCATATTTGTTAAACAACCAACACTGGTCTTTCCGATCAGGACGTAGACAAACCGCAGGTGGATCTAATAGTTGTTCCAAAGGGTGTCTAAGAAGTCACAACAGGCTTCCTCACCGGACATATCGTACGAGAGATTCCACCCTGAGCATGACTCTCTCCACGTAGAAGTCCCCTTCTTCAGTGAGCTTACGCTCAAAATCATCCCGCACAGACAACATCATCTGGACGATGACAAAAGAAAATACCGCACCATACCAAGGTGATAGCAATTAACTACTAACCCATCTGGAAAACCTAACCAGATAGGAAACGGTAGTGGTATGATTCCACCAGGCGAGTTGGCCACCAAAACGTGCCTATACCAGTGTGTCGGAACTATTGAGGTTTTTATTCCTTAGCCGAAGACGAATACCGCCTGTAGCCAGCCCCTTTAAGCCTCAAAGAGACCTGAAGGGAAGAACATCCAATTGATTTCAACACAGGCATCGAGTGGACCGAATCATTTTCAACGACAAAGGAGTCTCTGTCGTGAATGCGAAATTTCTTCGCAAACTCAAGTCCACCAAACGTCAACGTTTTCGCCAAAGAGATTTGAACCCCGAGACGATTCATGACGTCACGATAGACCCTCGCGACTTCCGGATCCCCGATAACGATATCATCACCGACGAAACACTTTACCAGGAGTTACCTTTTCCGCGCAATACCACACCACAAAGTGATGGGCAAGCGCGAAGAGAGGCCAAGAAGAAAGGGAACCTAAAGGTTTCCCGGCATTGAAACAAACTTGGGCCCACGCGCCTATTACTAGACACAGGAGCAGAAAAGACATTTGTCCCAAGACCAGAAACAACCCAGGCCACTGCGACTTCATAATTCCATATACATTAAACTATGAGACTCTGCACATTAAGCGGGAAGCGATCGGTCGCAGAAGAGAAATCGTAACTAAACAATTTCTCAATACGCAATACGACGTAATCGCTCCAGAGGCTTTGTGCAGATGAAAAGTCCCATCCATAGGGATGAGCTTAATAACCTCCATACACCAATCATGAGCAGGCCGCAGCCTGTTTAAGGCCGTTGGGAATAGCGAAAATCCGCACCTTCCCAGTTTAGACCAGGAGGATCGATGTAATTGAGAAAGTGCTTACAGGTTCTTATTACTATAGAAGACTCACTCGCCTTAGAGAACTAACAGGGCATTAAGGGGGACCTCTTCCTACAGGAAAGATAGTGCTAGATCTAAAAGATTCTAATGCATTCCATATTGTTAGAAAGCAGAGGACTATGGTTGAGGTAGATAGATTGATAGTACGATAGAGGAGAGTCTGGAAAGAAAGAACTAACACCGGAGTTGCAGCAGCGGCAACAGAATCTCCTCCAATTTCATTGTTATGTTGGATGCTAATTGGATTCAGGTTGGCTTCCTAGCTCTAAATCAAGGTGCGGAGCGAAGCCGTCCTAATTCTCTTGCTTTAGCGCGAAAGAACGGCAGGGGAGAGTTGACTCAACTGTCAAGTTCGCCAGGGAGGATGAAGAACAACAGGACGAGGGAAGAACATATTCGAACTGAAAGGGACTTAAGGAAGATCAAGGGAAGTCCTAAAGGAAAGACAGTCTCTATCATAGCTTCATGCGCCTAGCAGCAAGATCGAATCTATTCTTAGGTGTCCTATCTTGATATAGTGCAACAGGACGATAGAATGATATTAACATTACCATTACTAGAATCGTCCGGTATAGTTTCTGCAAGAACAACGGCAACTGATTCCCCTAGATATGCATGGACGATGCAGATATTAGGTATTGTATGTAATTCAATAGTTTGGAATCCTTACTAAAGAGAAATCCAAGAGCAAGAAGGCTAACTCCTAGTAATGCTATAAGAGAAAGGACTGAATCTTTGACCTCCTAAAGAAAGGAGGACGGGAATGAACCAAATGCTAAATTGATCTCCTCCCTTCATCTATTTAGACCTGAAAGGTCTCCTCCCAACCTTTATGAAGAGCTAGCTGAGGTAATCCGATAGGTCCCAATTCAATAGGGAAACTAAAGATTAGAAAGACACTCCTTTCTTTACACTGATCTACGACCGCTTCGGCTTTCTTACTCAGAAGAGGCTTAAGAGGGGCCAGCTAGACGAAAGAAAGATGCTAGTGGGATTAAGGAGAAGACCTCTTGCTAGGTCCGATAGGACGCAAAGGCAGGTTTCAGTCTTTCTTCTAAGCAAAGGCAAGTAGCTTAAAAGCTCTTAGAACCGCTCCCGGTAACCACGAGTTCCCTGCTCTGGAAGCGGAAAGCGGAAATTGATTTTGTAAGGGCGTTAAGCACCTTTTGAAAGAGGTCTCAGATAGAGTTGAAATTTACAAACAAAGGCCTTGAGGAAAGAAGAGATGGTCTTTCTCTATCGGCACTTGTGTCTCAACAAAGTGAGTGCCTGTTCTCGACTTCTGATGCTTGCTCTTCAACTCCTTTCTCCTCTAGCTTCGGTGAATCACTTGCGCAAGAGATAGATAGTTTTTGAATCAACCGCCTTCCCTTTTTATGTGGAAAAGGCCCGCAACCACGACTAGCCGAGTTACAGCACCTGCCGAAAAGAAAGTCAATCAATCAATTGCTTCCCAAAAAAAAGAAGGATGGAATTACTAGAAGTTGACCTGCTTCCTGCCCGTACCAGAAACATTCTATTCTCTCAGCAGACCAAGAGCTGGAACTGCTAAACGAAGGAGCTAACTTACTAGGTAGAAAAACAAAAGACTCTATACTTTAAGAAAGAAAAGAGAGATTTTTTTGAAATCCAGGTCAATTACATCGAACCTGATCCTCAGATTGGGAAGAATCTCAGTGTGTTTACTGATTGTATCATCTGAGAGACCATCGAAGTGAAGGGTCGATGTAATTGAGAAGGCGAACTACCGGATTAGGTATCGGCTGTCAAAAAGCATGAAGAAATAGCTGAGGGACAACTTGAACTAAAGAGAATGAGGAAGTGAAGCTGATAAGTGATATCGTAAGCAACTCTGAAACGAGAGAGTTCTCACTAGAACTGAACTAAGGTCTGGAAGGAAATTATCCGTACCGTTGGACTACAAAGGCTTAGGCTTTGTTGGTAATAAGCTGGCGAACCTCCTCGTAGGACGACTGACTAATCGCCATCGACGGCGTCGCGGCATCGCCAAGCCTGCCCCTCATCAATTGGCTGATCCGCAGGCACCGGTTGCTCCATAGGGTGGTTGATCACCACCCAGAGCAGGTTGGTGTACGGGCGGGATTGGTTGACCGGGGGCCTCCCCTCCTTGCAGCAGCTGCCCCTGGTTTGGGATCGAAGATGATGCCTCTCCCTGGTTCCCAAAAGTCTCTTCAATCCATGAATCGCCCGTTGAGATTGAGGGTAGGGGAGAGGAGGACGAGCTTGCTGCGCCAGAAGCTCCTGACGGCCCCATCATCTTACCCTTCCCAAAGAAAAATGGCTGCTAGAATAAAATCTCCGCAACACCACCCGAGCCGACTAAAGAGGAAGTGGACTACCCAGTAGCATTGATTTTATCTTAACCAATAGGATATTCCAATCTAAGCCGAGTACTAGAAAGCCAAAATAGCATACGTAAAGTAAGGTTGTTGACAACTGTCGAGATTCTGACCGAAACATTAGACATTCCATGCCCCCGAAAGTCCATAGCTCCATTTTTTCTTATTAAATTAGAGTATGGTACTACTGAAGTGGTTTTTTCTCGTCGTGTCATATCATATCTAGACCAACCTTCTTTGCCCAATCCGAAAGAAGAATAAATAAATTCCATTCGGGGAGGCCAGTCAGCAATTCTAGGAGGAAGGGCGAAAAGTGAACAAGGTAGGCAATTCCAGTTTTTGAGTTGTAAAAGAACTTAACTCCTTACTATATCACCCCGGATCAGGAAGAAGAGAGCACTTCACTTTCCATTGAGGAGTAACATAATCAAAAGTCTTGCGAAACTAAACTAAATGCCTAATATTTTTAGATTTAGGGAAAGGCAATCGATAGGCGAGGTTATATATATATAGAGTGACCGACCTGTACCCAAGAGACAAAGTTCGAAGATCGAAAGTCAAACTGGGAAGGAACTGTTCTCGAATCTTGAAGCGAAGAAAGAAGAGTTTCCAATTGACTAGACTCCACCGGAAAGTCTTGAACTAGATCGGCTAATAAGTTAAGTAAAGGAGTTTACTAGCTCAACAGAATCAGTAGCAGGAGAAGGATCAAGATCAGCTTTTCTTAGTGGGAATATGGCATATCCGGGATCGAAGGTAGAGGAGTTTAAGAAGTAGTTAGAGAGGATCGACAAAGTTGAGTCGACTGTACAAACGAAGCAAAGCGAAGTGAAGTCACTCAACCGGAAGAAAGGGGTGAAGCTACTAAGCTGAGCGAGAGAATGCGATAGAGATTCAACAAGGCAAGTAGGAGTGGCCATTCTCGTTCGGTTACCATGGGCGTAGGGAAAGATGTAGAGTTCGGAGGTAGGACAGCTGGGGACCTTTCCGTCACACTACGGGCGAGAATAGGCTTTCTTTTTCTATGCCCATGGGGACTCCTATATTCAGTAGAAGGTATGAGGCCGGCGGGCTCTCCTTGGATTTCTCGCTTCCTATACGAGTTTCATGACTCGCCCATGGGAAGTCATTCCGGGTTCCTTCGTACTTACAAGCGAGTGGCTGCCAATCTATTTTGGAAGGGGGTGAAACGAATGATTCGGGATTACGTAGCTCATGAGGTTTGCCAACGAGCTAAGTATGAAGCCCGATCTCCGGCAGGCCTGCTTCAGCCCCTTCCTATTCCCGACAAGGTTTGGGACGATGTCTCAATGGACTTCATCGGTGGATTACCAAAAGATAAAGGGTGCGACACTATTTTGGTGGTCGTGGATCGTCTTTCCAAGTACGATCATTTTTTCCTCCTCACCCATCCCTACACTGCCAAGCAAGTGGCCGAGCTGTTCGTCCGTGAAGTAGTGCGCTTGCACGGGTTTCCTCGTTCCATAGTGAGCGATAGAGACCCCCGTCTTTAAAGCGACCGAAGTCTTTCTCGGGCTTGGGAAATGCTTTGTTGGGTATTTTGGATGTCTCGTCGGAGCTGCTCTTCTTCGGCCGAAAGACGTTGTCTTTCAAGCTTTAAGCTTGTCTCGGCATCGAGAGAAAGTTCTTGCTCTCGTAATGCCTCCAACTGAGCAAGTCTTTGTTGAGCTCGACTGAAAGGAAGATTTCTGACTTACGAGCTACATACTTTCAGTGAGAAGGAGATAGGTACGTAGCCTTGCGCACTAGGAGTTTGAAGATGCCCAGAGTACAGCGCAACTTAGACCTTAATGGACGAGAGGCTCTTTCTTATTTTGAATCCCCTGCTCTTATAGACTCGTACAAAGAAGAAAAGAAGTTCCATGCCATGGCACTTGCCTTCCCTTACTCTTACTAATACTAATGTGCAATCATTCCCTCCCTCACATGCATTTGCAACAGATTCTAACTAAGACCGGTAATCCCCGGCCATTCTCGGCATCTGAACGTCTTGCCCCTCTTCTCAAAGCCCTTTGAGAAGAATATGAATGTCAATGTGCCATTTTATTCTTTCTTCGGGATACTCTTGGCTTAATCTTCTTTTCCTTCGGCGAGGTCAATTACATCGAGCCAACTTTAGAAGCGAAGCGAAGTCAAAGAGAGGGAAGTGAGTAATGAGATTTTGCAGCTATATGAGATGCAACTTTCGCAATTGAAATGAAACGAACGAAGCGCAGCGCAGTGAAGTCATAANGTGTGTATAACAAAGAAGGGACTTTTCCTTTCTTAAATGGGTCTCCGAGCTCGGAGTTCTGCCTAAGACTGGTTCTTTGGGTCCTTCGAGCTCGTCAGCCTGAAGTTCTGCCCCGCGACTTTGCACTGTTCAGCCCTCTTAAGAGGTTCTGCTGAGCACTTTGGAGGGATCCCACTAACAAGTAAACTTCTTTATTGCGCAATAACTGGTTCTTACTTGATAACGAATTTCACTGTGATAAAACACAGAGTCTTTGGGTGACCTCAAAGCGTGCCAACTAAGAGGTCTTGTCCCTACGTACTATTCACCAAACTTGGTGGCAAAAAACATGTATCTTAAATATGCGAACATAAAACTGTAATACTTTTGAGCATACGTAAAGAGAAAACTTAACATCTTTAGGCATAATACTTCTTGAGGTGCGCCACATTCCACGGTCTAGGTAAAAGTTCTCCATGCCGATCTCTGAGCTCGTATGCTCCACCTGCAAAGACTCGTTCTACTTTGTAAGGACCTTCCGAGTTGGGTTGTAACTTGCCCACATGCTTGAGTGCGTCTGCTTGTCGCCAAACCAGGTCGCCGACCTGGAACTTTCGAGAATGCACCTTCTTGTCGTGGGCCAACCTCATCTCAATGTAATCGACCCAACAAACTTTTCGAAGCGAAGTGAAGGAAAGTGGGGCAGGATTTTAGGGTGCGTCGATGGAGAGGAAATTGAGCAGTCTCTCCTGTAGAACAATCCTGCCATGATTTTGATGGACCGGTCAAGTGCAGCGGCCATAGGGCAATCTCGGACCACGTGGAGCGATGTCTCCTCAGCCTGGGAGCCAACAGATCACTGGCCCTTCATCGTTTCGCCAAGAGAATAACTCGTCACAAGGAGAAGAAGGCCTAACATAATTCGAATGGAGGCTGAGCCACCTCTCTAGAACTTTCGGCCGCGAAAGCCCAATTAAGAATTTCTCCGAAGAGTACAAGAGATTGAGTTTCGTTTCTCTTCCCCCAATGTAATCGAGCCTGCATCTGATTGAGAGCCTGAAAATTTAGTTTCTGCAACAAAGGAATCTGACATCTGTGATAATATTCCATTCCTTGAAAGCCAGTGAAACCAGGAAATCGTAGACAGATTGACCAGTTGACTGCCCTAGGCCTATGACGAAGGCTAACCCAATCCGGAAATCGGAAACTGAAAATGGGCAGCCCGAGAGTCAGGCCTCAGATCGGACCTAGCTTTCTGAGGAAGACATGCTTTATTCCTTTCAGAAAAGAATGAGTTCCAGAGCGGATTTCTACTCTTCTAGTTCAGTGAAAGAAGAGGTGAGCGATCCCGCCTCTGATGTAACTCCGGGAACGATTGATGAAGGTGGGAAGGCCGACCAGACAGACTCTAAGTTTTTTCGATAGCGAAGCCAAGCCGACTCTGATTAAATTAAACTACTCTTCGCAGCAATTAGTTAAGTCTCAATCAGAGACAGAGCATTTTCGATCTTAGGCGAACGAGGGTCAAAGATGAATACAATGAGAGATTTAAGACCCTCCATACTAAATGCTACGCAGCCTCGCTTCCGTACTTTCCTATCTGGGAGATCTCATTTGATCAAAGGTTGAATCAAGAAGAATTAGGCCACAAATTAGGATAAGGCCTTTTCTCTTTCAATCGTCCTCTAGTGGGATCGGCTAAGCCAACTAATAGGCCAAGAGCCTCTTTCTTTTCCGGTTTTTATCGAAATTTGACTGAACTTCGCTTTGCTTCTAAAGTTGGATCGACCCGCGGGAGGTGGAAGCTTATCAAAGTGGGGAGCTGCTCCTGAACCCAAAGACGCCTTTTGAGGAAGGATCTTGTTGATTTAGTGAATATAACAGGTTGAGTCCATTGACTTAACCCAACCGGTAGTTAAACCCAAGAGAGAAGCCTTATCCCACAAGCAGACGGATATATAAATGCCAGAAGCTACGCAGGAACGGTAAATAAAAATGACTGAGGTAATAAGGTGGCTTAGCTTACAAAGGAACTGCTGATATATCTTTTCTTTATATTTAGCCACAAAGACATAATAACTATTATGAGTTTACCTAAAAAAAAAGCAACTAGAACGAGTTCGATGAAGGGCTGAGCCTCACCTGCTCGAGAACCGGAACCTCAAACTAGTTATCTAGAACTTATCAGCTTCATTTTCTTTCTTTGATCGAACGGCTACATCACATCTGAAAGATGAGAAGTCGAAAGCGCTAACTGCCGCTGGTTCCTAGTACCGTGACTCTGACGTAGATGAATAGGGATGGGGTTCTTTTTTCTATGACTGAACTTCGCTTCGCTTCTAAAGTTGGGTTGGCAAATTCTTGTTAGAAGGGTTTCCGAACCAGATCCCCAGACCCAGGATTGGAATCCTCTTGAGTTGAGGTACCAACCAGCTTAACCAGCTAAGCTCAAACTGGGGTAGACGAATTACCCGCTTAGGTCAGATAAGGTTAATTACATCAAGCCTGTGGTAAGATCCAAGCTCGAAAGCAAGAGGGGAGTACCCAGACCAACAAAGGCTCGTTGAGACCTCAGTCCGAAGAAGGGGAATAATTGCTTATGTAGATCTGGAATCTTATGTTATGATGTTATGCTTTGGGGCTTACCTTGCACTCGCGCATTTTCACGAGGATTTACCTTATTGGTTCAGAGGTGGATCATAGGGGAAAAGACAAGGCACTTTCTAACGCCGAATGTGTACACAAGCTTAAATTAAATAATAGCATAGGTAACATCTGTAACATCTCATCAGGACTTGGACCGATGCTTTAGTTTAGCATTTGAGGTTTCCCTGAGGTCGTGCACAGATTCGAGAATTATCCACATTCTAAAGATTCCACTAAAGATGGGGGATGGTGGGCCACTTGTACGCTTGGACGCCTGAACGCCACTTGCAAGATTACGCACGATCGATCACAAGAAAGACCTGGCAAACGCACTATCACATCGAGGTCTCTCGGATTGGCTAATTCCTTGACTTGACAGTTTAGCAGGAGTTGACCCCGCCCGCGCACTCCTCTTTCCCCTTTCACTTGAAGTAATTTCCCATTTCGGGGAGAGACATTCGAAGCCACCTTGAACTCAGGTCAATTACATCGAACCTCGCCCGTCAAAGGTCTGCCTTAGGGGTACATTTTATTCATCTATTTTGCCTGCTATACTATAAGGCAAGGCTCAGAACTACGAACTCAGAAAGATGGGCGTCGAACTAATGTTCATGGACACTAAAAGAAGAAGTCAAATCAGAAGCAACTGGGCAAGCAAATGCCGTTAAGTTAAAGGGCCATAGCGTAGCTCGAGCCAGAGCTTTTGAGTTTTCCAACTAAGTTCCAGTTCGCCAAGGAGTGTGAGTCTTGAGCGGAGGCATAAAAAGCCGAATCATAAAGACTTAAAGGAAGGCTAAATGGCAAGGCCTTTGACTGAACTTCGCTTCGAAAAGTTCGTTGGGTAGAGTCAGCTAACAAAGCCTCTCAACTCTGCTCTTAAAGAGAGTTTGTAGTATCCTTTACCAAGCGGCACCAAATTCCACGACGAAGAAAGAGACCAAAGAGATTGCAATTTAGCCTTGAACATATAAAATCTTGCTCATGGGGGACGTTGAATTGATTGATCTTGGTTACGGCTACTCTATGCTTACCAGCTCACTCTCCTTGACGGAAGAAAGATAATAAAAATCCCAGAAACATTGAACGGATCATCTAACAGCCCCTGGTGCTTTGCCGGAAGCCCTTTCTCATGTCAACAGCGCATTTGTGAGCAGAAGACAACTATCCGTTCAGCAAGTTGAAGTGTCCAAGTGGGCTTAGACGTTGATAAACAGGTCTCTGTCTTCGAGACGATAGCATGACGAGCAATGGCTAGTGACGGAAGACGATTTCTCGCTCTCTTTGGACTAAGTGACCTAAGAAAGCAGACCCCCTGAAACGTCATATGAGACCGATCCGATGGTTTCCGCTATCGGGCGAGGGGAGTAACTCGCTTTTCCAAGCGTTGAAGAAGTCTTATAGACCCTTTCTTTTCTTCTAGAAAGGGAGTTCTGAAACGAAGAAGAAGCGAAAAGCTGCTCCTCAACTTCGTCGACCCTGCTACAATGCACTGGTCCAACCTCCTCTCTGGCCCCATATTTATACAAGGCGAACGAGCAAGCCTTTCTCCAATGGATTCTAACAGCGCAATCGAGTTTCATGTTGGGCATTCCATGATGAAGGAAGTAAGATCAAAATCTGAGGGTGAGATCATGG